CTGACCTAGGGTGAGTTTTAAATAGGGATAATTTTTAACAATTTTAAAGTTTCAGGGGATTTTTAAGGATAATTTTAATTGATCGGCCTGTTTAAATATTTCTTTTTAATTCGGCTTTTAATTATTGTATTTGTATTGTAGTTTTTACGAGGCTGTTAGCCGCCCTGAGTCCCATGAGGAGAAGGGCGGGGTATAAATTTTTAATAAAAAAAAAAAAAAAAAAAGAGAAAGGCTAGCTGCACATCAATGACTAGCCCAAGCTACCAGCAGCCAAAGTCCAAAAGCACTAACCAGAACAACTGTGAACAGCGTGCTTGGAATTGGGTGAGAATATTGATCTTCTCTCTTCTATCTTGTAACTGATTTCCTGTAAAAGATCCCCAAGAAGCAAAAAATCCTCCAAAAGTGAGAAGGGAGGGGATCGTAACCCCACCCTTCTATAGATGGAAGTGGCGATTTAATTTTATGGGGACAGAAATATATTGAAATGAATAGAAGAGCTATTATAAAATACTCCTTTCAGTGATGCTTTGACAATTGGAAATGTATTGGATAATAAAGACTATGGTACCGGTGAAATAAGACTATGGTACTGGTGAAAGAATATCTGGAAAGGGGAGATAAAACAAATGTTGCATATCACACCTAATATCTCCTTCTGAAAGCCCCAGCCTGAAATATCAGAGACCTGCAGGAGCAATACTCCAAGACAAGGCAAATATTTTCCAGGAGGAAATGTATGCAATGCTGCAACAGATTCAAATGACAATGGTGTCAAATCATGATGAAATTAAAAACAACTTTGATGGCATAAATAAGCACATCTTTAACCTAAACATACAATTAAAAAACTCTCAGAAAACGACAACAAATGAACAAACAAACCAGATAACAGAACACAAACCTGAGGACAGTGACCCAAAGAGCGAAGCTACAGATGAAAAGAACCATAGCTTAATACAAACAAAAGAAAACTTGCAAAATTTTGCCATAACAATAGAAATGGAAAAGATATCTTATTTTTTAGGGCTTCAAAACAAACTTGAAGATAGGAAAGAAGATCTAACAAAATGGATTATAGAGCAGCCAGGAGAATCATTAAAGTTTGGGAGACAGAAAATGCATGTCTTACTTAACTTGTCTCTTCTATTCCCAACAACATTTACAAAACTACAGGAACAATCCCCTGGCAAGTTGAACACACTGACTTGGAAAGTTACTTGGCAAAAGAAGAAGGCTAGAGTTAGATTCAAGAGATTTGATTCGATTTACCAGATGGAGTACTATGAATATAGAGGGGAAATTAAGCTTAAATAAGAATCTTGAAAACAGGACATATAGTGACTCAACAAGATGACTTTTATAAATACAATTGAAACATAAGCTGATCAGAAAAGATGTTATATGCTGATGTTACTGTTATTTGTACAAACATAAGAAAAATGTTTATATCCAACTTTGTATATATCAAAAATATAAAGAACTATATTTGTTTAATGTTGACAAAAGGAGAATACAACTGGAAGAAGAGAAGACCAAAGCAATATATCATTAATCAATATATTGATTATGGAACTATAGAATTTAATTATTATTGTTTTTTAAATATATGAACCCAGACAACACACTGTTTACCAAGCACTAAAGACTGTTATTATAAAAATCAATAAAATATATTAAAAACAAACAAACACTCATCTAGGCATTGAGAGATCATACATTCAAGTAATATCATACACTCAATACTGTAATTATTTGTTTTCATAAACTTAAGAAAAAAGGAGATCATATGAACTCATGGTTTGTGCTACGTAGTTCTATAGAATAAAAAATCACAAAATCGTAAGTTTAATTATTAAATATTTTCTGACCTGTATATTTTCCAAGTTCTGCAAGCATATTTTGGTACAGGATCAACATTTGATCACAGTGTGCAATAACATTTTTACGCATATTGTCCCAATGTGGAGAAAGCTCCCCAAGTTCTTTAAGGTCCTGATTCCTGTAGCAAAATAACAATAAAAAACTTATTTTATCAATCTAATGCTACAAAACATTAATACAAATTAAGTGGTTAAACAACTATAGTCCAACAGCTAGTTTTACCATTCTTATTTATATATAACATTATCCTGGGCTTAATCAATAAAATACTTTTTTGCAAAGAGATGGATTCAGGTTTAATTCAGAGAATCTTTCAGTAGGGTAAGGAAATGCTAGAATCCACGCAGTAATAGAAAAGGCATTCTTAAACTGGCACCCTTCATGCATCTTGGAACTACTAAAATACTGGCTAAGAATTCTAAGAATGAAAATCTTAAAATATCTACATTCTAAAAGGCTGCTAGATCATCTGCTATTTCTATGTTTTACAGAAGAAATAAATGGAAAGAGGTATTTAATTAGTATCTCTGAAGATTCCTGTCCTATCTCCTTCTATTTACATTAACATTTGATGAGGTGTTATCTTTTAAATCTACACCTTTTCAATGTTTACAAATTCTAATTGTATTCTCCAGCTTTTATGTGAAAATAAACTGGTTTCCATCTGCATTTAGTGCAACCATCTGCATTGTTTAATACTGAAAAATATGCTCTGAAATCTAAAAACAACAAATCCACCAGCATCATTAAATTAAAAACCCCAAACAAATAATGATTTCCCCAATTAAAATAGTTTGACTTGGATGATGAGAATATCACATTCAGATTTTCAATTTTTAAACACACCACTTAAAGAAAATTTTACTTTCACTTTTAATATGTATTACCAGGATTTATCTGTCTGGGTTAATCATCTTGGCAAGTGCACCTGCTAAGTGAAAATGTTTGGCTAATAAAAGATAGTCAGATCCTTTAGCAAATTGCCAGCTTCCTATTAACTCTGGAAACTGACATAATTGAAACACAATTCATATCAGTTATTAAATGAAAACACATGGAAAACTTTTACTGTTAGAACTACAACTGTGTGATTCTATTGAATATAAAAAACACCAGTAGTTCATGTTGTGCTGGGTGAAATTTGGTTTTAACATCTATTAATTCAGGCTAAATGTTTTAAACTACATATCTCTCTGTTTCTCCTTGATGTTAAATATTATGGTTGGTGAAAGTTTGCTGAAGACAATATAATTGTACTGCTAATTCTAATACATTTTGAGATTATTAGTAATTTCAAATATTAAATACCCCCCAAAATATAAAATGTCAAGATTCTTGCTGAAAAGCAACCTCACTTAGCCCTTTCATTCTTGAATTATTTAAGCAATGTGTTCGCAAAGGATTCTGCAGCAAATCAACTTTACATCAAAATGATGATATATGTGCTGATGCAAATTTTGCCTTTATGTAATTGTGTCCCAATGTTTGTTGCAAGTTATGAGATTTTATTAATTTGATTAATACATACAGTATAAAATAATAATTCTGGGTGCCTCCTGCTTGCAGTCATCTATAATTTAATAGCTAGAATTAGTAATGTTTTAATCTAAATTTATTTCAACTTGAATTTCAGATGAAATGTACATAGTTTTGATTGCCCTGACCGAAGATAGGTATCAAAAAGGAAGAAAGTATGATACTAGAATCTATATTATCAACTTTCAGACTGCCTGCTTCAACTAAGGGACATTATCTGATACTGGGATGTTAGAGTTTTTATTTTTAGGAGCTTTTCTATAGTATTCTAGAAAGTTGTTATGTCTCCCATTCTTCTTAACATTTATATCTCCAATAAGGTATAACAAGAAATGTAAGATAATGGAGGGTATGTGAATGTTTCATTTCATTTTGACATTCCTAAGGTCATTAAAATATTTGGGTTTATTTTGAATTATGTTGTCAACGCTGCTAACATTGGATGTTCTTGCTTTGACAACAGATGGAAATGCAGCCATTTTCTCTATTGCTTTTAGAATTAGTTAATGCTGGGAGAGGAAATAGAGATGAGAGTCCAGCTAGTCAAAACAATAATATCTTAGCCATGGGAACCCAAGGACATTGGGCCCAGAGCTGATAGTGTTTTGGCGGGCTGGAGAGCTGGGGAGGAAGCCTGCGCTTCAAGCTAACTGGGGAATGTGATTTATGACTGGTTATTGGAGGAGGGAATTGTACTTTGTTACTTTGTATCCAGGGGAGGGGAATTTAGTTTTTGGTTTCAACTATGTAGTGTCACTTTGGCCACCTAATGAGAAGGAAGGATTCATTGGAGAAGAGTCTAATGCTGGAAAAGATTGAGGGCAATAGAAGAAGGGGACGACAGAGAATGAGGTGGATGGATGGAGTCACTGAAGCAGTAGGATTGAGCTTAAATGGACTCCAGAAGATGGTAGAGGACAGGAAGGCCTGGAGGAATGTTGTCCATGGGGTCGCGATGGGTCGGACATGACTTCGCAACTAACAATATGTAGTGCAGATACATTATTTCTTGAATAAAAGATTCTTTAAGACAAACAATGCCTCAAAGTTCTTTTGAAGAGTTTCATCTATTGGAACCATGATATATGTACAGTATCTCAAATTTGGAATGTATAAATATATGAAAAAATATTTTTTAAACATGGGATGTAGAAAGTTTGTTCTTTTATGATGGAAAGACATGTTTGTCTTCATTAATTAACAGGAGCCAACATGGATTTATGCCAATGAATTGTGTCAGACTAACTCGATCTTCTTTAATGACAGAGTTACTAGACTGGATGATCCCTTGCTATAGAATATCTTGACTTTAGCAAGCCTTTGATGCTGTTATAACATCCTTATTAACAAATTGATCAAATATGGGTTTGACAACTCAAACATTATGTGGACCCACAATTGGCTCAAGGACAACTCAAAGATAGCATCAAATCTTCCTGGAGAGACATCTTGAGTAAGGTGCCATGGGAATCTGTCCAGATCCTGGTGTGAGTCAACATTTTTTTAAATGATATGGAGAGAGTTAAAGGAATGCTTACCAAATTTGCAGACAATACAAAACCAGGAGGAGTTACTAATATTTAGGAAAAGGGAAAAATCCAAAAAGATTTTGCTTAGAACAGTGGATGGAAACAAATAAAATGAAATTTTATACACGGAGAAGTATAAACTCATGCTTCTAGATAAACAATAACAGACATTCAAAATGGAGGAAATCTGGTTCAAGAACGGCACATGCAAGGAGAATTTGTATGTACTAGTGGTTCATAAGCTCTATATGTCCCTACAGCATAATCCAACACTGTTCAAAGAAAACAAATAATATCAAAAATCCAGATTTAGAGAGGTAACTACTCTGCTCTATTCTGTCTTGGAAGGCTTCACTGGGATTATTATGTTCAGTTCTACACATTTTAATTTGAAAAGAACATTTATTAACTGGAACAGGTCCAAATGAGAGCTACCAAATGGTGAAATTACTGAAAGGAATAGTTAAAAGACCCAGTTTTCAGAAGAGAATAACAATAATAATAAAAATGATTGAAACAGAAATGAGTAATAACATCCAAAGTAAAGCATAAAAATATTTTAAGTAGCAACAGAGAAGTGGGGAGGGAGAAAAAGAGTGGCGTTATTAGCATTGTTATATACTTTTTTATTTATCTTATTATAATGTTATATGGGAATGTCTTTGAGGGACAAGGGGAAGAGATGATACCTAAGGAATGATTAGCTATTTTCTATTATTTATCTTAATTTATATTTAAGATGTGCATGATTGATGTTAGCCATCCCAGGGAAACATGACCACACGAACTAATTCTACTTTAATGTCAGGCTACATTACAGAATCTTATAACTCTGAAATTACAAATCATCCACAGTCACTTTTAACAGATACATTAGGGCAGATCCTTCTTAAGTTCATTTCTTTGCCTGTTAAACACTTTTTGGTTCTCCTGCCCCTTTTTATCTAATTATTCCCTAGGCAGCATCTTTTCCCCTTAACCCTCAAGGTCATTTCCACATACCATTACACATTTTTACTAGTTTATCTTTTTGTTTGTTTGTTTTGCCTTTAAATTCAGGGCTCCACAACATCATGCTAGCCACAGGACTGTGGAAACGTCTTCAGACAGTGCTGACTCATGGGCTTGAAATGGAGATTAATGCTGCCCCCTATAGTTGGCAATAACTAGTGGAGTAAAACCCACAGGGATTCCTTCCTTTAAAAAAATAGTTTAATAATATTTTTATAGCTATTGTATTTTTATTTTTTATTTTATTTCAATCTTCATTCTAGCATAAAGTTCATTTTATGTATCTATTTGTATTCTTTTCCTTTCGTTTACTTTACTTAATTCAAAGAATGGTAAGTCAGAATTCAACATTTTTATAAGCATGTACATTTTAAATAAGTAGCACTTTTTAACAACTGGGTGTGGGAAAATAAAGGTTCAAAACCATTAGATAGATAAGCAAAATACTTTGTTGTATAAAACCCCCCTGAAAAACCATGAATGAAATTTATTATATTAATATAGACCTGCTGAAATGAATTTTAGACAAGTTATATTTACATTATAAAACCGGCTGAAGCTAGCAAATTATCTTCAATTATTACTTATATATATATACGATGTTAAAAACTATATAGTGTTTTGTTATTGTTATAATATCAGTATAAGAAAAAAATAAAAAAGAAACACGTTAACATTTAAACTTCCCTCTAATGGCTTAATATATTTTATTTTTTTTATGAATAAACCTACGGCAAAATTAATGGTCTGATTATCAGACCAGTTAACTCAAAAACTTAAACTTATAGCATGAACATATAAAATCTCCTTGGCTAGAATAATGTGATTAAGCTTCTTGAAGTATTCTACTATGTTTCCCTGCTCAACACTAATTCAGAAAATACTTGGAGTATGTGGCAGAACTGTAAAACAGTTTCAAATTTGGATTGGCCATACCTATGGTAGTACAGGTAGGCCATTGGATTCTCCAGAGCAGGAAACGCTACCTCAGCTCTAATGCCTGTTGTGGGCCCCTTAGCAATAGTTCTTTTACATTATTACATTGCTCCACTGGAGCAAGAAGTCTGGAATTCTGAATTCCTAGCATTTTGTTAATTACTATAATCAATGTTTTCAGTCAATTTCTACCAGCAGTTTTCTAAAGACTATTCTAAAAGCACATTTTTAAAACATTTTCATTTCACTTACCTTCTCAGATCTTCCTTTATGTGAAGGCTGATAAGTTCCTTGGGAACATGAAAAGAAAGATTGCTCTCAAACATCTGTTCTCGTATATACATCCACTTGTTGTCAGAAGTGGGGAATGTATATAATTTACAGATTGGGTTTTTTAACACTGTAAAAGAGAAAGCATGGTATTGCTTAACTGCAGCTTACATTTTTTCCAAAAAATATTGCAGCGTATATTTCCCAAGTAAGTGAAAGTTGTAGTTTGAAAAGCAGGAAGAGTAGTGACACTTGAATTCTGGTGTTGGAGAAAACTGAGTACAAAGTAGACAGCCAAGAAAATAAAGCATGGATCAAACAAGTCAATATAGAGTTCTCACTCAAGAAATAAATGACCATGATCATATATTAGGATGATGGGCCAATAGTGGAGGGCAGTTCTATTAACGATTCTCTCATTTCTATTGTTAGTATCTGGAATAGGGAGCTTTTTCCAGTCTGCTTCAGAAATGATCCTTTTGGCACATAGAAGAACTGTGGTAATTGAAGGGCAAGATAAATGAATAAAGTGTGGATTGAGAAACTCTTCACTTTAATCTGACATGGCACAGCATAAACAACCATGGAAGGTCTATGGAATGACAATGTTCAGCAAAGAAGCACTCAAGCTATTTTCCAAAGCGCCTGAAGGCAGGACAAGGAGCAACGGGTGGAAGCTAACTAAAGAGAGAAGCAACCTAGAACTAAGGAGAAACTTCCTGACAGTTAGAACAATTAACCAGTGAAACAACCTGCCTCCAGAAGTGGTGAATGCACCAACACTGGAAGTTTTTAAGAAGAAACTGGACAGCCATTTGTCCAAAATGGTACAGGTTTCCTGCCTGAGCAGGGGGTTGGACTAGATGACCTCCAAGGTCCCTTCCAACTTTATCATTATTATTATTTTCCTGCACATATCATACAACAATTTTATTGTCTGCTGAGTTGTCTCAGGCTGTAAGAGGGCTGACTGTAAGAGGGTTGGAAGGGATCTTGAACATCTTCTAATCTAATCCCCTTCCCAGTGCAGGAATCCTCATACTATTCTGAATGGCTGCCTGGTCTTTTCTTGAAAACCTCCAGTGACAGAGCACCGACAACCTCAAGAGGCAATTGTCCTATTGCTTAATATATCTAAGTCAGGAAATTATTCCTTCATTCAACTGTGGATCTCTCACTGTACAGTTTCCACCCATTTGTTTTTGTCCTTGAAAAGTGGATCATAAAGTTGAAATTATATTAGTACACCCAATGAATTATCTGTTTTTGGAGATCAGCCAAGAGAATGTACTCTGACTATCCTCTTTCACTCTTCTGTAGCTTTCAATCAATCATCTTATCCTTCTAAATTGGCTGAGAGATTTGAAATTAGAATCATTGGTGTATTATGGTTGTGCTCCTATTTTTCAGATAGGTTTCATATGGTATCACTTGGAGATAATTTCTTCTTGAAATGGGAACCCACATCATTCATTATTCTCCAGCGCTTTTCAGGATCCACTTGAAACTATTGGGAGAGTTTAGTAGGGGATCTAATACTGGGTGATACACTATGTGTCAAGCTCCACACAGACTTGGGTGAGATCAAGGAAGCAAGAATTACATACAGGTCAGTCAAATATATTTAATACTAAACATGGACTAAATGGACAGTAGGGATTTCAAACTCTCATTTATTGTAAATTGCTTTAAGGCAGAGCTCTTTAGTAATTTGAAACATTTCTTATCATGTTTTTTTTTAATCCCTGAGCTAAATTACCATTTAAACTACCAATGTACTTAGCTTCCATTTCTTAATTGTTTATATCCAGGGCTTTTTTTCTCGGAGAAAAGGTGGCGGAACTCAAACCTGGCCACGCCCTCATCAAACCCTAGGACCGCCCCTTTAGAGAACAGGAATGCAAGTAAAATTTGGGAGGGACTATTTCCGGTGTGGGAGGGGCTATTTCCGGTGCGGCCGGCCCGGAAAAAGGTGCCGGAACGCGGTTCCGCCGCGTTCCGGCTGAAAAAAAGCCCTGTTTATATCTATTTTCTCTTCAATTATATTCCCAGCTTCTCTACAATGGTTCACATGCGGACCTATTTTTTATTTTAGGAAATGGTGTAGCTCCTTGGTGTGCTCTTCATAAGGGGCTGAAATTGAATTTGTACAAGATGAAACTTTTCACAACTCCAGAGAGAAGGTAAATTTGCCTGTTCTAGACAGGATTTCATTCTCCTGTGCTTCTGGATTCAAATATCTCTCTTTTCCAAATTGTTTCAAGAGTCAATGATTGATCAGGCAATATGCTAACTTTCTGAAAAATAATTTGCTTAAAACTGTGATCTGCATGTTGGCAATTTCTAACTTTCACTATAGTAATGTTCTATAGGGGACTGCTTTCATTTAAGTCTAGAAACTTCAGTTAGTACAACATTCAGCAGCCATGTTGATTTTAGAAAAAGTAAACAGACCTTATTACACTTATGATAAAAGTACTTCATTGATTACACTTCATTTCCTAGGTCACTATATTAAATATCCTTCAGATTTTTGACAGAATATTCCTTTTTATATGAACTGCCATATTTACTGAAATCTTATGACGACATTGGCCTCCAAATGTCATGACTTCCAGTAAGATTTTTACATTATCCTTCCAGCTGTTTAAAAAATACTCCCTGAAGTGCTGAGGGCTAGTATCTTTATTAGCCTTTAATAAGCCTTTAAAAGACATTGTTTTGTCTTGGTTTTTAATTATTGATTTTAACTATTTTAATTGCTATTTTAATTATTTTTAATATCTCAGTTTTACATTCCTTTTATTACCAATTATTGAAATACTTCATTTTATATTAATATTTGTTTATAAATCCATGAAAACTTTGCAACAAAAGACTTACTAGTGATTTGTATGAACTAGCTTTTCCCTATCTGTGCCATTCAAATGTGTTCAGTTTTGTTATTATGTTGTCTGGGGGATTTAGGGAAGATACAATCCAAAATTAAATATTAAGTTACACTATGCTTCAGAGAAAACCTCTGAATAGAGATAATTAAAATTTCCTCTGCATTAGTGGCTCTAATAATGTATCTCATAAAGAGAACTTGCTTGTAAAGAACAGAAAAGAAACTTAATTTTTGGAAGGTCAAAATATTAAGAAAAGTCCCTTATTTCCTTTATAGGGTCATTATCCTTTATGGAGCCCTCTCTGTTTGACTGAATTTTTAAAACAAAAAAATACATGTAGATAAGCTAGTTGTCAGTCCCTTGAATTAGGCTAGATTGAAAAACAAATTTCACAAACACTGTTGGAACATTTGTTGTAGGGGATGATAACAGACTTATTGTAAATACCAGGTATCATTCAGTATATAGTATAAAACAGTGGTTCTCAACCTTTTTAATGCCGTGACCCCAACCGGTCGTAAGTTGAGGACTAAACCGGTCGTAAGTCGAGGACTAAACCGGTCGTAAGTCGAGAACTACCCAACCGGTCGTAAGTCGAGGACTTTCCCTGCCCGGGAGCGCAGCGCATGCGTGGTTCTGCCCCCTGCGCCGGCCGAGGCGTAGCTGACAAGCGGCAGAGACGGAGCAGGCCGACCACCAGCTGGCCCAGCCCAAGGGAAGTAAGGCACCCGCCGGAAAAGGGGAAAAAAATGGCAGACAAAAAAAATGGCAGACAAAAAAAATGGCGGACAGCCTTGCTTGGTGACCCCCGTGAAATGGTCGATCGACCCCAAATGGGGTCCCGACCCACAGGTTGAGAACCACTGGTATAAAACAAAGACATACATTCCTTTCCCTGTTCCATCAAGAAGAATCAAGGTGGAACAGTCATCAGTTTCTTTCTCACTACCTCACTACATTTTCCAGTGAAAACCTGGTGTTTATGTAATAGCTTCTGATGCCTTCTTCAAGGCCATTTATGTATTCTTTTACACAATATTATTTTAATGTCAACATTTGCAATTGATAAATGATTAGTAAAAAATTCAAAAGTCTTAAAATAAGAATCGAAATTCAACAATAATTTATTAGATTAACAATGAATAGCCACTCAGATTTATTGAAAATTGGGCAATATGCTAGTATTATATTATTATTAATGTTTATTTCTCATGCTTATTTCCCAACAAAGACTTCATAATTTATAAAGGATTTGGGATTCATATCCTAAGCAGATATTTAAGAATAAAGACAATAGCCTTCCAATATAGGAGATTTTATAATCCACAATTTCCAATCCCCTCATTTTATATCCAGAATTGCAAAGGATACAATGAGCAGTTTAAGATACAGAGGTGAAACAGGTGTACTGTATGTATGTGCACGCGCACATATTCTATAAATCATTTGAGTGTCTGTTGATATCTATATAAAACAGTGTTTCTCAACCTTGACAATTTTAAGGCATGTGGACCTCAACTCCCAGAAATCCACAGCCAGCATTGCTGGCTGTGGAATTCTGGGAGTTGAAGTCCACATGCCTTAAAATTGTCAAGGTTGAGAAACACTGATATAAAAGAACAAATTTTATCACATTCATCATATGACTGTGATTAAATGCACTGTCCGAGTGATCTAGGCTATCTTGTTGGAAAAAATCTTAATGGCGACTCCACTGATGGGCTGAATGAGCAGCAATACACTGAATCACTATACAAAAAAATCACTATCCAACAAAGAAACTTTAGGAGAAAAATTCAACTATCCAAGCGAGTAGTGTTGGAAGGACAGAGCTCTGCTTGAAATTCTAGTGATTTATCTTTATTGCTACTTTGACACAGAAAGTTTGACTGGTTTAAATTGGAACTCCGGTTACAATTTTGCCTATATGCTAATAGTTTAGCATATACATCCATCATCATATACATTCCAGATTACACTAATAAGCATGAAGTACAATTTTGGCTTTCAAATGAAGCCAGCAGAAAAAATGAGTGGATGATTTCATGGAATTTCTGCAGGGAATGAATACAATTTCCAACAGTTTCAGCTGATTTCTCCTTTGCTGTAATAGAAGTTACTGCTTTTGAAAAAGAATTTCTGGATGTCAACATTTACTGAAACTACAAAAATCAGGATAGTTACATATCTGTGGAGAGATGATTGTACAGTAAGCATGTCTTGCTTACTGTACAATCTTTGACCCTTACCGGAAGGTAATAGAAATCATATAAGCCTGAAGCTAGCTCATTCTTTTAATTCAATACAAAGGTAAACATTAAGCATTCAGTTAATTTCACCATTATAAATTAAATGTACATACCTGCATTTAATAATGGTAAATTATCTCTATTAATTATGTTTTCTGGAGATGAACATGAATAAACCAAGGCACACTGAAAGATAAAGTTAGCAAATGTAAACAAGAATTCATAACACAGAGTAAAAATAAGTTATAAAGGAATCATACTGAATTTAGTATAATGTACTACCTAGTTAAATACCATGGTGCGTACCGTTATTTTACTCTAATATCTTTAAAATGTCAAAATTGTTGTGAGTTTGAGTGGAAAAAATGTTTAATTTCTTACAAAATGAGGAATTCAGGAACTAAAGGCTGCTTTAGAAAAAATATTATCTTTATTCACAAGATGCTTAAGAATTATTGTTACTCCTTTTGGCCAACAGTATTTATATTTATGTCTATGCCCAATAGCTGGAAGCTTCACAGCACCCAGAGAAGACCAATAAAAGGCATATTATAACCTTAGCAAGGGGTAGTACATGTTGTTAGACACATTCTTTTCATCTTGTTTTACAATGTCCAGAGTCCGCCCATCCTCCCTCCCCCCCTCTGAAAATCCTTGACTAAATGAGCAATCTAACATGTGATTGTAGATCAATGTGCTAGGCTTGATGCAATGACTTCTCTAATTAAACTGCCTTAAAGTAAATTGGCTTAAAATAGCAAAAAGAAACATATGCAAAACTTATTGTGTTAATCCAGAAATTGAGTGATTGAGAAAAGTAACTAACTATATAACTTTCTTGCCATAGTGTCTGTCAATCACAGGAATGCATCTTAAAGCAAGTAGATGTTTTCTTTCCTAAAATAGCAAAGGCTAGAATACCAATTCTTAAGACTGAGTATTAAAATGCCCTCCTTTGTTTTCATAGCTCTATTCCATACAGAGGAAAAGTGATGACGCATTTCAAAATATGTGAAGCTAGGATGAGCAAAAACGAGAGCAGAAGAAAAAGAGAGGTTACCATACATTCATCAATACCATGACCTTTTATTAACAACAACAAATCTTTAAAATCATCTACTCCATTTCTATGTTAAGTAGAAGTGCAGAGAAACAGGATAGCAGCCTAATTTATATTAAGCTGTTTATTTGTTTTGTTTTAAAGTTATTTTAACAATATATGTTAAAATTCTATACCATATACAGCTTTGGATATATAGTTTTGAACGTTACACACTATTATATAGGTTTCTAAAATAACTGATAATTCTAATTTAATTTGTGCACAGACCTGTGTTTTTACCTTTTGCTCTTTCCCATCTGTTGTGATCTGATCTGATTCCCCATCTTCAGTCTTCCCCATATTTATAAATCTGACATCTATTGTGCCAAATGTCTTCCCACCATCTAAACTCCTGAACAAAGATATGGAGAAGATAAAGGAACTTTATTTTCATCCCACATAGCAGCTTCATTAACTAAATGATTTTCATTCTCTATTAAAAGCAATTAAGTACAACATGCTGTCTTGCAATCACTGTCACAAATGGATCCTGACATTTAAGCAAACAGTATATCCATCATCACATTTATAATCTGAAATGCTGCAGCATATGTTTTATTACTTGTTCTCCATAATAATTTCTGAAGGGAATAAAGCTATATGCAAAATATCCACAGAGAGTTTAAAACAGATTCTGTCCCTAAATATTGACCACCAGAGTGCATGCAAGAAGTATAAAATCTCTTTTGCTAGCCTGTGATGTGTTGTTCCAAATCCGAACTTACAAGAGCATTACCTTGTTTTCTCATGATATTACATTCAAAGAAAAGAAATTACAGCTCTAGAATTCTGCAGATTTGATACAATACATCTTAGCTTTTCATTATGTACTGCCAAAATCATACAATTCTGCAAACTACCAATGATAATATATTTTCAAAGTCACAATATGATTTCAGCATAAAAATGATATATATTACGAGGTGAATATCAATTCCTAAAAATTAAATAAAACAATCCCAAGTTGCAACTTAACAAAAGGACAGTACAAGTAGTGCCAATCTGGCTTCTGGTGGAAGCTTATGACATAAAATGGGGGTCACCACAAGAGGTACTTCTTCCAAATCCAAATATTATGTTATTGTGTACCAGGCTAGGTTTGTGATTTTTTTTAATAAAACCAGAATTGTCAGGATGTACTTTCATCTCTCATAATTCCAAAGCGTATAATGGATATGTAAGACAGCTGATCCATGAAAAGTCATGCCACTGTTCACCTTTCAGGAACCTGTATAATTCCAACTATGCATAAACTGTGGTAAAACAGATAATACATGTAAATTGGTTGAGTTGGTTTGTCTCAATATATCTATGTGCAGAAACTTCACAATATGGCATAAAAAGAAATATAAACAATTCCTTTGGGTTCGGATGTGGTCACGTGGTAATGTGTACCTAAAGTTATTCTGTGGCGTATTTAAAAAGAACTTAGCAATATGCCTTGTTTTTATTCTGCAGCATGTTAGTATTGTTGTTGCTTATATGTCTGAGGTACCTATGCACCTTTATAAATTTTATAAATGTTTTATCATTTTTTAAATTATCCTTAAAAGTTCAGTTTTACACTCTGTTTCTAGCACAGACTTAGACTGAGTCATAGAAAAACACACAGGTCCCTGCATGAGCTTCAAAATATAAATCAAATTTATGGTAACATCCAGTCACTGGCATTATATAGCAGGAAATAAAACAATTATTCACCCATTAGGATCCTCTGAGAGAATTTAAATGGCAGCCATTCACCATTTTACAGGCTCTATGCTGTTATCTAATATTGCCTCCAATTTCTTAATCCAATATGTTTTATTGCAATTTGTCAACAGTAGTAATTCTTTCATGGAACCTGAATCTTAGCAACCATGAAACATCACCTTGTGTGCTTCAGGTAATGGATAGTATAGTTGTGGACATCTCAAATTGGAAAGAGTCTGAGCTAGAAGATGCTGCTCCTGATGGTCCAGATAAATGCTAGAAAAAAGCTGGAAGTGCTACTCCAGAGTTCCCAGGTGAATGCCATCAAGGAGAACCTAGCAATGAGGCACATAAATCTGATGGAGATAAGGAATATGCAGAACAGCTGGCAGCATCAGGGGACAAGGGGTGGAATTTATGACTTTCCCTCTAGATCAAGAACTAAAAACATCAAGCAGCACAAAGGCATTGTGTGGCTTTTTGTCTTTTGTTATGTTCCTGAACTTGATTGCCTGTGGTGATAGCAAGTTCTATTTAAGAACCATCACTGCCCAGCAACTTTTTGTTCGGAACAACTGCTCCATTTACCCAACAACTGTTCATTTACTTCCTGAAAACTTGCTTGTGGAAACACTGTTTCTTTCTGATATGACTTAGCTGATGGCTTTGCTATATCTTGTCCTTCAGACAAGGACTTGGATTATGTCTATAACTACTCTGTTCCTTCAGATTCTGACTACCAACAATCTTATTCAGGCAAGCTTTTAAGGACTTCGGAACTGTTTGAGAGATGTGTGTGTAAATATTTATAATAATAATAATAGTAAAGTTGGAAGGGACCTTGGAGGTCATCTAGTCCAACCCCCTGCTCAGGTAGGAAACCCTATACCATTTCGGACAAATGGCTGTCCAGTCTCTTCTTAAAAACCTCCAGTGTTGGAGCATTCACAGCTTCTGGAGGCAGGTTGTTCCACTGGTTAATTGTTCTAACTGTCAGGAAGTTTCTCCTTAGTTCTAGGTTGCTTCTCTCCTTGCTTAGTTTCCACCCGTTGCTTCTCGTCCTGCCTTCAGGCGCCTATATCCAAATTTCCCTTGCAGACATGCTTTGTGCACATTTGCTGTCATTGTGAGGGCATTATTCTGTTCAGTTGTAGATCTGTAGTTATCACTTTGCACACAGGAGTTTAAAGTTTTTACCACTATGTGTTTTATTTCAGAAATGTTCAAATATGCTCAATATATTCATTTTTCATTGCTTGCTGCAGGATTCTAGAGTTGTGTGTGTTTCCAGTTAAAGTTTGCACATATTATTTATGCCAATTATGTAATTACAAAAATAATTCAAGTTGATGCAAACAATGTACACTGAGATTTAACAGATATCCCTTTTCCTGAACTGGCTATTAAACTGAGGGTTTATTGTGAGCACTTAGATAGGGGGAAATCATGTTGTCCAAGATCTGAAGTTGATCACATTTCAAAAACAATACAAAACGAGGTAGTATTATCGCACATGATTTTTTAGCTAAAAAGATAAAAGGATAATTCAAGTATACAGTATAGAGAAATGGAGCAAGTAATCTCCCTATAGGATTGAAGAAAATCCTCCAGCATATCTTATAAAATGTGCATTAATTTTAAATAAAAGATAGAAAAGCAACAGTCATTCGATGGCAGATTTCTTAATTTGATAAGATTTGTAATTAACAGGAAGACCTACCTGAGGCTAAGAGTCAACTGCTGCTCTTCTGACTTCACCAATTCGCCTACTTTAAAAGTAGCAGAACCCAGGAAACTTCGCTAGAAACCAAAGGAAAGATTAGATACACAGATTCACAAAAGACAAGTGTTCTATGAGATGTACAAAATACAGAGTTTCTCAAATTGTAATGGTTTTTCTTTCAACCAGAAACAAACAAATGATAACACTGATGGCAAAAGATAAATAACAAGTAGCAAACTGAACATTTATTCACCATTGAATGCTTTCACAAATCAATGATGCTATTCTTGATAATTGGTTAAACTGAAACAGGAATTTATTTTTTTCACTAAAAACAAAGAGAATTGACAACCTGAAAAACTGCATGCTGAAAATACAAAGCTTTAAGAGAAGATACCTTTTTAGGTTTAATTATTTTGATATTACAGTTGAGGTTAACCGTGAAGATGTTTATTGCTGTCATTCATTAGTCAGGCTTGCAGGCACTATCAGTTATTTGCCAAATGTGAACATATTTATTTTCCAGAGGTATTTCTACATAGCTATTTTATTTATTTTTAAGAGTCATTGTTGACTCTCTGTGACTTCCTGGACTAGTCTCTCTAATCTTCTTGGCAAGATTTTTCAGAAGTAGGTTGGTCTTGCCTCTTTCCTACACCTGAGACACGATGATGGACCCAAGGTCACTCGGCTAACTTTGAGCCTAAGGTGGGACTAGGACATAGGGTCTCTCAGTTTCCAGCCTGGTGCCTTAACCACTACACCAAACTGTGTCTCATTAATGGACAATATTAGTAGGATGGATGCTATATTTATTAATTCAGCACACTATATGGGGAATTTGTTTCCCTCTCTCTTTTTATTGCAGATGCAAGCAAATGTATTCATCCAACTCTATTGATCACACTTATTTTTGTTGTGCAGTTTGGTTTATTTATTTATTTAATCAGTCAATGACAAGCAACATGAAATAATAAAAAGGGAAATAAAAGACAACAATTACAATCTGGAGTGACAGGGAGAATTGGATGCAATTATATATTGGCAACTAAAAAATAAATTGAATATTGTATACTCTGAATACCCCTATTACAATAACATTCTCTAAAAGTTATTAAAAATAGTAATAATTAAGTAAAAAGTTTATATCAATAAATTTTTATTACAATCACAGACCAGCATTACAAATAAAAACATTAAAAACAATAAATAAAACAGACAAAATACTACATTATGATTAGTGACGGATAATGTTGATAAAAATAAAATCTATAGTTCTTTAACCGGTTTTGCCTTATTATAATTGCAGCAGCACAAAATTTGGCTACTGCATGAGTGGTGGATGGATTTGAGTACTGGAAATTATCTGCTCTCCCTAGAAATCTCTCTAAGAGAGGGAGAACGTATGTTGATCTGATGTCCCTGTAAAACGTACAATGCAATAAGATATGCAGGATATCTTCCCCATTGCCACATGTATACATTTGCTGTGCTATTGGGGTTTTATCACGCTTGCCCTGCAGGAGTGCTGAAGGAAGGAAATTAAATCTAGTTCTAAAAAAATGCTATGCTACTCTAAGGAAAGGGCAGTCTTTCAGAAACTTGTTAGTTCCCACATCCCTCCATCTAATCCAGTTTCTGCTGTGGAAAGGGATCCTATTGGGCAGTTTGGTACATGTGACATGTCAAACACACTTTTCTCTGTCTGTATATATCATTCTCTTGTAAATCTCTGAAGCCTCTTTAGTTTTAAAAGGTCACATTGAAGAGAAAGATTTTTGTATCATTATAACACTTTTGACATGCATAACAATGATCCTTTTCTGATCCCTTTTAGACTGTTCCATAAACAAAACTTTAATTGTCATGCTTCCATTATAATTAACTACAACAGTTTATATGACTTGTATGCCTTTTAGAAGATGATACAATTTTCCTGGTTGCAACTTCTGAATTCAGTCCCATTTTAGGGGAGGGGAGGGTGTTGGATTTTTTTCACAATACAAAGCATTATGCTCTTGGTTCATGTTTCAGAGTTCCATGTGTTGCCCACCAGCTTCATTATACAGTATTAACATTCTTGCAGGTAAGAGTTGTCTTGATGGTAGCATTTGAGAAATGCAATCTGATCTTTCTGGCCTTTCCTTTGGAATCCATTCCATAATTTTTATATTAAAAAAACAACAATCCTAGCAAAAGCTGAGGGTTATGTCTGACTATAGCAACTGAGCTTATAAAATGGATTTTAAGGTTTACACAGAGAAAGATGGACAATGTATGGAATATAGGTGATTTTAGAAAGGGAGTAAGTCAGTAAAACAACTGACTTCTTACTGCTATGCTTCTAGAACTATGCTTTAATTGATACTATTCGTTATACAGTATTAATTATTTTGCAACCATATTTATGTTTTCATTTGAACAAAATTCTATAGAAATAGAAAGAAATATGCCAGTTTTTCAGATATCTAAGCTTCTAACAGATATCTAAGCTTCTAATTAATATGATCATTTATTAAAAAATCTTTGTGGTATTCAATACAGACAATTTTGGCAAGAGTGATTAACAAACGTAATGCAATGAAAAATAGAATGTTACTTGGAGTCTTTCTTGAGACTGAACTAGCTAGAAAGGAAAGAAATAGAAAAGAAAATAACAATTGTATGTCTTTGTACAGAAATGTACAACACAGCACCGTTGCAGTATCTGGATTACTTCCTACTATACCAACATACAAACAAAAGTACTTAGGATGTGCCATGGTTGTATATCCAATTCTTGAATATTTTGCACAAATGTAATTTACAAAAAGCTCATAAACAGTTAATCATCACAACTTTAACCTCATTTTAGCATTATCTGTTTTAATGTAAATACATACAGATACATATATCAACAATTAACCTACCCCACTATCTGTCCTTGGATCTTTGTTTTCTGCCAGAATGCTGCTCCGAACCTAGACAAATCAATTGACAAATCAACAAATAATTTAATTTAGTCTCTTTTTACATGAACAAAAAAAGTGGTCCTTCTCTATTTTATTTAAAAGGAAATATTCTGCAATTGTCATTGACTCCATTGTCCTCTAATTCTAATTTAACTTCATAGGTTTCCCCTTTTCATTTATTTCAGAGATTCTTGTGGTTATAAAGTATTTTGCTATAGATGACTTAAGTATCTAGTAGGTAGTCAAGCTTGTAGTTTTTGGTAATGAAACATCTGCAAGAAAATAACCAAGCTCAGAGAACACCAAGGACCCGCAGTCCAACCCTGAATTACAAATATTCTTTTCTCTCAGAAGCAACATTTCAGGGTCTGTGATCACAAAATGGGTGAGGCTGCATCATTTATATGGAACAGGTAGCTTCTGGAGGGACTTCATAGATTTCTTTCTATGTCTATTTTAGAGCTTATGCTATGTTTTCATCTGTTTTCTACTCAACATGACTGAAAAAAAGGTTGCCCTCTCAGACAATAAACACAAATGAGTAGTAAATAAGGCAGGAGTGTCAAACTCGATTTCATTGAGGGCCGCATCAGCATTGTGGTTGCCCTCTTGGCTAGGGGTGTTCGTGGCCAGGTGGTCGCGGCCAACTGGGTGGTTGTGGCTGGGTGGTCACAGCTGACTGAGTGAGTGGACATGGGAGGGATCCAGAGGTCTCCGGCAGAGAGGGTGGAACAAGGGCAAGTGCTGGGGCCTGATGCACTGGAGGAGACTTGCCTCTCGGGTTGTGCGGGGATCCCCCAGATGGCAACACAGGCTGCCTGGGGCCCTTGAGCTCCTGGCATGCTCGCTGGAGGGTGAGATTGGACGGTGGGGGCCGAGAGCACAGGGACCATGATGTGGCATTGATGGCGATTGGCTGGGTTGCCTTGCCGTGGCCCCACTGCCTGTCTTTGATTGCCCATAGCCACCATGACTGGGATGGGGCAGGTGGCTGTGCAGCCACGTGGCAGGCCTTCCCCCCTACACCTCTGCCTGCTGCTTGGAGGGCTGGCCTGGCGGTCGCGGCACTCAGACCCACCTGTGCTGCATGGCCTTCGGAGTCCTGGCTGCCTTTTGGGGACAAGGGCTCTCCACCCTTCCCATTCACCGGGGCTGTCACGGGTGGGGTCGCAGGCAGGAGGCTCATCCCACGTTTGCGGCGGAGCTGGAGGATGAGATTGGATGGAGGAGCGAGCATGCAGGGGATGCAGCATGGCATCACCCTTGCCCCTCCACCTCCCTTGTGTCATATTGCCCCACAGCACCAGCACTGGCAGAAGGCAAAGGTGCAGGAGAAGGCATGTTATCTGGCCTGCCGTGCGGCTACACAGTCGCCTGCCCCGTTCCAGCTGCAGCAGCCGCGGGCAAGCAAAGACAGATGGTGGGATGGAACAGGTACGTCTGGCGAGCTGGATCACATGCCTCCCTCTGCTGCTGATGCCACCGCTGCACCTGCTGCTTGTAGGGCCGGCCGGGTGGTCGTAGGGCTCGGAGTTTGGGGACAAACAGGGACAGATCATATTAGTAATTTTAAAGCAGTGTTCAGCAGACAAAATAATAAAAAGTGTTTTTATTTAGAGGAATTCTGTATCTGGCAGGCAAGTTAAACATTATCATTGCAGAATTGTGCAATCACCATGCATGTATTGTAGCTTCTTTATATTATGGGCAAGTAAGTTTCTGATGCTTGGGTATAAACAAAAGGATAACTTAAGAAACATATAACTTTCTACACTCTAAATCCATGGAACCAGAATTTAAACTATTTCAGACAGCTTTAATCTGCTTACTCTATGATATGAACTAATGCTAACATATGCTTATAGCCAACCAACTAAAACTTCATAGTTAGGGTTGGTGTTTTTGTTGATATTCAACACGTTTGCTACATGAATTCGTGCCTTCCATTTCTTGTATGAATCATTATTTGCAGTTGCATATTTATAATCTCCACATTTTTGTGGAGTGTAGATCAATTCAGATTTGAAAAAATTTTTTTTTTACTGTATTAATCTTGGCAGGCAATCAGACCAAACACTGAGATTATAGCTATAGTTAAGATTTGGAAAGGAATTCTTGTAAATCCCTTAATACAATCTATCAAATAAATCATCTAAGGTTACATAACACCATATCTGTGCTATTCATTTAAAGTTGGGTTCATGGAGTCAATGGTTAACGTAAAGAGAATTGGGATGAATGAGAATGTTCTTCTTTTGGGACCAGAAATTCTTTTAAGTGGATATGACAATCACTTTAATATTAATAATTAATTCTTTCTGTGTATTCCTGCTTTTCTCTGCTGCATGTGTATAAGAGTGGATCTTCTTCACCAGCAGAATAGTTATGACATTTGACCTAAGCTGGAAGAAATCAACATTTTTTATTTCTTATTTTTCTTTTCTAGAGCTACCCATTTTTTAGCTTTTCTTTTTAAAATAAATACTTTTTACCATTTATGGGACACTATTGAATACACACACACGGAGGGAGGGAGGGAGGAAGGGAGGGAGAGAGAGAGAAAGAAAGAAAGAAAGAAAGAAAGAAAGAAAGAAAGAAAGAAAGAAAGAAAGAAAGAAAAGAAAGAAAGAAAGAAAGAAAGAAATAGAGTTTTTTTAAGAGAAACTTTCTGCCAGAAAGTTTATATCCTTCCTAAGGATATTCTGCATGTCTCATTACCATTATGTGATGAGAAAGACCTACTATATTAGCTGCTAAAACAGTTATATTTGGGAAAATGGGAGAGGAAGCAGCCAAGGAACTTTAGCAGAAAATAAAGTGTAGGAAGCAAACCGACTGCAAAGCAGAAAACATTCCTTTTAAACAAGAGCAGGAAAACAAATCTGGAGGAATCATTTGTGGTAATGGTGGGTTAAATAAAGGCAAGCATCTTCTATTTGTGCCCTTCAAAAATGGTTTCTGGCTTACACTGATGATAGATCAATGTGGCTTGGTGAACACAACCATCTTACAGTAAAAGCCTGTTTTTTTCTTTAGGGCAGGAACAAACAATTTTGGGGTGACACAGCTTTCTGAAGGAAATAGCAACTACAGTCTATATGACAGTAATGGCATAGAACTGATATTTATGGGTGTATTTTGTTGTTTTTTTATTCAGAGGGCTCTCTTGGTGTCAGTCCCTTGAGTTACGCAAGGTCAAGAAGACATGGCGGGTATTCCAGGCATATATAAGATAAAATAACCTTTATTGTCATTTTTTACTGTGAGCACACAGGCCCACATTACAAATGAAATTCTGTTGCCTGCTTCAAAAGAAAGTATATATCTATCCATACACGTACATAACACACACATACATATGCTATATACATACATATATATATACATATAAATATTAATCACTGTCCATTTTGAACACATAGTGGAAAGAGAAAACTTGAGTTCACAAGGTTAATGCTATATGGAACAAAACTGTGATTGAAACTGGATGTTCTGCTTCAGATACCATGAAGCCTCCTCCCAGAAGGTAACAAGAAAAACAGGTCATGAAAAGGATGTTTAGCGTCCCAGACAATACTGCGGACTTTGCTCAAGCATCGTTTATATGCTATGTCCTGGATAGAAGGAAGTGAACTACTAATAATCTTTTCTGACATCCTCACAACTCTCTGTACCGCCTTTCTGTCTGAAGCAGTAATGCTTCCAAACCAGACTGTAATGCTGTATGACAGGATGCTCTCGATCATCCCTCTATAGAAAGTGGTAAGGACAAGGGAAGGAAGATGTACTTTCCTCATGCGACGCAGAAAATGCAGGTGCTGCTGTGCCTGCTTCACAAGTGTCTCACTGTTGAGCGACCAAGCTAGCCTACTCTATAGCTGCACACCCAGAAACCTGATGCTGCTAACCACCTCCACAGGCGAATCATTAATACACAGAGGTGTGTAGCTGTGCTTGCCTTTTCTGAAATCAACAATGATTTCTTTAGTTTTTCCTATGTTTAAAACGAGGCTGTTTTTGTTATACCAGTTCACTAGACCCTCTACTTCCTTGCGGTAAGACCCTCCTTGTCATCTTGAATAAGGCCCACTAGTGTTGTATGTATCATCTGCATACTTCACAATGTGGTTGGTGGTAAACCTAGCACAACAGTCATGGGTCAACAGGGTGAACAACAGCGGACTTAGGACACAGCCCTGAAGAAAATCTGTGCTCAAGAAAATGGTATTAGAAATATTAGTTCCAGCTCACACATAATGGGGCTTATCAAGAAACCAGTTGCACAAAGGAGTATTAAAGCTTAAAAAGTCCAGTTTATCTACTAGATGCTGAGGAATGATTGTATTAAATGCCAAACTGAAGTTGACAAACAGCATTCGTACATGAGTGTTTCTTTCCTCCAAATGTGCCAAGCTCAGATGGACAGAAGAAATAACATTCTCTGTAGAGCAATTTGAATGGTAAGCAAACTGAAGTGAGTCAAATGCTGGAGGGAGGCTGGATACAATAATGTCCTTTATTAGCCTCTCAAAACATTTCATGATGACGGATGTATGTGCAACTGGACAGTAATCATAGAGACCCATAATTGTAGACTTTTTTGGCACTGGCAAAATAACTTCCATCTTAAAATATGATGGGACCACTGCCTGCTGCAATGAAAGATTGAAAATACCTTTAACAACACAAGCACATTCCCTAAGAACACGTCCAGAGGTATTATCTGGGCCTGCTGTTTTCCGAATGTTAACTTTCCGCAATGTTTTTGGCTCTAAGGAGCGAGCATTAGCAAACAAAATATATGGTAGTGGGACTCTATATGGTTTAGCTTTTAGCCTAATTGTTAGTTCTCCACATTTGCCACGTTTCCTCTTTCGGTCACACTGCCTCCTCTTCTGAAGACAGTCAGTGCTGGAGGGGAACTTCCCTCCTGCAAAGGCTGCCACCCCCCACTGCCTCTGCTGCCCAAACACTGCCTCCATCACACAATGTTGACTCTACCTCCAGCTGTTTCCTCTCTTCCTCCAGGCACTTCCAGAGAATGCAGGTGACAACTCACCCTCTATGCAAACTGCTGGTACTTTTGCTGCTGACTCTTTCCACCGAAGTAATCCAAAGAAATGCAGACTCTTCACAACAGCTTCATCAATAATTCTTTTGCTAAATATCTCCATATCCAATATGGACTGACAGTCATACAACAGTTTAGCAACACAATTCCACTTTCTTGTGTCAATTCTCAAAAAGTCACTCAATACGGATGGCTCATTCATCTTTAAAACCCCAACACTTTTGAGAGCTGAAGTAGTTGCAGCCAAGCAAGGCGTCACCATTTTGGAAGTCAGGAATGTTCTTTAGTGCTGTAGAAGGCAGTCCCATGGTTCACATGGTTAGGACGCTGGGCTGACAATTGGCAGGCTCACATTTGGTTCTTATAGTTGAAGCTGAATGATATATTTCTTCATGTACGTGAGAAAAAATTAATTAAAATGTAATGTTTCATTCCATTCAAAAACTCACTAGGCTTTGGCCTTTAGCCTGAATAAAGCCTAGTGAGTTTTTGAATGGAAATCAGAATAATATATCATGCAACAATAAAAATAATCCTGAATAGATATATTCCTTTTATTAATATCACGAAAGTAATACTTCATTTTCAAATAGCATTACTAAATTATCTATTTTTAAATTATTCAGTTGATACAGTATATTTTCTCTCCACAGACAAACAACATAATATGATAAATAAAACTGAAGTTAATAAATATAATAGCATGTGTATATTTTTGTCAGTTGAATAAATACAATAATTGGAAATAATCTCCATCATTCATCCATCCATCATCTTAGCCAAGTGAGAAACATCAGTATGGAACATCATTAAAGGAAATGAATAAAGGAGAGAGAGAAAAAGCATGGTCACCAACAGTTTTTTCAGATATCACATATTTGTGGCCAATACTTTGAGCATGAATGCTTGCTGCAGAAAGTCTCTGTTGTTCTAACAGGGATCATACGAACATAGTACATGTACAGTATATGCTGTTCAGCAGATATAAGAAGACAATAAGAAACCTTTCCTATATTATATCAGCATCAGGTTCTAGAACAGATCAAGGATGTAGTTGTTTTCCCCCCCACCAAAGGAATAGATGACAATAGCAATTTAAAAAAATATATGGGGCCTGCCCAGTAACCCTCTTTTTCAATGTCTGAGCAATTTTTTTACAGGTGGGAACTGCTTTATTCTTTTTATATGTTGACCGTGCTTTTAAATAACATACATATCTATATCATCACAGTAATCCTTTGACCAAATTGAATGCAACAAATGTATTTGAAAAATATTAACACTTGTCATTTGGATTTCTATGTCTTTCTTTGCAATAGTGCAAACTGAAATGCAGTAGAAAATTACTACTTCATATAACTATTGTCTGTTATCTACTACACTTGTGCCCCGTGAGGCACTTTTCATAGCGAAAGGAATGAGCATAACAAACTCTATTGTCATGAGGTTGTCTTTGATGTACATTGCACAAACAAGCTTTTTATGGATCTTCTGTTGCAGAAATATTTGATCCATAATATATCAGCAAAAAAAACACACACACAAAAAAACAAAAAATAAATACTGTGCAGAAAAGGCACAAGGTTTCTAGTAAAGCACATTAATCTAGTGAGACAATACAGATAACTGAATGCTTCCTCTGGAACTGTAGAATGGGATGATGGAAATCGTTACCAGTACAGAGCAAAGATTCTAATTTTTTAAAAAACAGAATAATCTACATGGTATAGGCACATGATCAACCCTCTTCTACTTATATTTTGTAAAATGAATTTCATTTATTTTGAAATAAAGCAAGCCATTTATAAACCATGGCTCTTGATAAACCAAGTAGTTAATCTGTTAGAAAAGGATTTATTTCTTATTTCCATGAGAGGGAAAGGCTAATAATAAATTTCTTATTGTCCTCATAGTGGAGAGCATGTTAGGCTACAGTTTCACAACCAATGCTCTAAGGCCAGTGGTAGGATTCAGCCAGTTTGCACCAGTTCAGCAGAACCGGTAGCTAATTTTTTGTTGCCCAGGCCCAGAATGGACTTCTGGAAGCGGCATCCACACAGAGAACCGGTTATTCACATATTTGAATCCCACCATTGTCTAAGGCCATGAACAGTAGTCTAGAAACCTTCAGTGGTCTATACGGACATTGCAGATGAGCCTTGTGTGGAAGTCAAATCCAATATTTTTAAAGATAAAAGTTTCAAATCTCAAGAGAAAGCCAAATTTTGCAAGATTCTGGCCCCATATTATTTTTTTAAAATGCCATAATAATTAAGTTTGAGAACCATTGTTCACAATCTGTCTTTTGTGTGTACTCTTGACTTCCTTGGACTTATTGACTTCCTTGTGCCTTAACTCTTTTGAATCGGTGCTTTGGACCTATGGACTTGTTATTGACCTCACATTGCTATGATCTCTTTGATTCCCTTAAACAAGAATATATTCTAGCAATATAAAACACATAAAATTGTAAAACTGAAGAGGTCACAGCAAGTATAACTAGTATAAGTGAAAGTCACACAATGTATTAGATCAAGTATGGGTTAATATTTTGACTGCCCATGTAATAAAGTATAGTTGGTATCTAAGTAATTGCAAAGTTGAAAGCATCTGGGAGTTTGAAATTAAGAAAAATTTCACATGTTATTTTGTGGCCTAGTTACATGCATCAACTGCATAATATTTCTTTTTCCTTTTTTGATATGGCATTTATAATTCCTTGCAGGTACTCTAAAATATTTCAAATGATGTGGGGACAGAGATATTAGCTAGGTAACTGACAATACTGGTAATAAAATTATAATTTCATTAAGCTACATAGTTACATAACTTGAAGTACTGCAACATGTCCATGCAAACTTCCCTCTCCTTCATTGCCACAGGGATGCTGAGTCACTGGGCATGTCCCAGTCTCCCTTACATATTATTTTCCAAGATGCTTCTAAAGGTTAACTAGCACATTATTCTACTCCAACTATTATAATTATAGCAAATGATTTCACATATCAGATTTTAAAAATATTTAATTCAATTGCAAAATAAAGTATACATTACTATACTTTAAGTGAAAGACTTGGAAAGATTTAATTTATTTAATAGTTCAATTTTTTTTCTCTTTAAGTAGTGGAAAAATGAACAAAAACACAAACATATCCTCAAGTACCAAGAAAAATTAGAGAATAACACAAAGCGATAACTAGGAATCACTAAAAATCCACATCAAAGCTGAAGTCTCTATGTCTTATTTTCCTGCTGCAAGAAACACAAGTTAAATGTGTCTACTCTAAAACTTCCCAGATTAATCTTCTAAGGTACAAGTCAACTGCATTCATCGATTTTCTATTCTATTCTTCAAGAATCATTTATATAAATCTAGTTTTATTTTTCTGAAGTATTGTGGCTGCAGTGACTCAACAGAAAAATTTTACCAGAACAAAGCAATCTTTCCAAATGAAAATATGCAATCCTTCAAAAAAAAGCTTATTGAACTATAATTCCTTCCTAACCCAATACATACCGATATTAATCATTTACAAAACTATTGATGAGAATGAGAAAATAAATACAAATCCTTTTGAATTATCATGAATTAATAATATATGTTTATCCTATTGATATTATACATAGATTTATATTATTAAGATTTTTATATCTTTAAAATGTTATTTTTAAAATCTATTTTTCAGCTATCCTTAAGATTCATAATCTTCTGAAGGTGGTTTATAGTAAAAATAAACAAAACCAACAAAATCATATTATACAGGAAGAATTTTAATTAAAATAAGTACTTTATGTAATATATAGAATGTTCATCAACTTTTTTATTTTTATTTTTAAAATACATTGGAATATTACACAAATAAATTATAACTCACCAAAAATATGCTAAAATTAGGTATTATTGTTTCAAATCTTTGGCATGGGGAAAAGAATCCTAAAATTAACTACAATACAGTTGTTTTGAATATAGATTTGCAAGCAGTTCTATATAAATTCTTCTTTCCTAAACAATCATAAAATACTTTAAGTCTTGTACTTTAATTTATTTTTTCATAATATATTCACATTTTAAAGCATTACAGATGGGCTCCAAAAATGTGAGCCTCAATATAGGAATACCACAGTTATATTAACTCTCTTCTCTTTAAGTCTGACCTTTCAATGTTGCCTAACATTCAATGATCAGAAACAGATTTTTAGGGGACTTTCTTTCTTTCTTTCTAGACATTTCAACTTGATCCATTCCATATGCTGATCATCCATCGTTAGGTGGCTGTGTTATACAAAGTATTAACTCTTTGTTTTCTGAGCTAACCTGTAATAACTTCAGCTGAATGTAGCATGGAACGCCAAGAAATAAAAGAATGAAACAACAAAGAGAGCCAATTAAAAGATCTTAGCAAAAGAAGTAGTAAGATACCTACTGTGTCTTGAGATTTATCCTTGACATCATAGACAGTTAGCTTTATTTTAGTCTCCTCGTAGATAGGGTAATCTGGGGGGAACGTCACACCAGTCAAAAACAGTGGGTCTTTTGTTCCCTGCATAGCATAAGGACATAACTCAGATTTAGCTAGGTAGCAGCTGTGTACCGTCTTGTATTCAATTATGGTCAACAGCAGAATAGTTACAGAGATTTCCAAATGCAGCACTTCTAGATAGGAAAGACCGATTTTGATTGCCAAAATGCAATCAAAAATGCAAAATATAATAGCTCTCAAAACACAGACAAACATTTCAGGATGCAAAACTTAAATTTGCAACAATTAACTATTCCAGGTGATCGTCTTAGAATATACAGTATTTTTTTTCAAATTAGGAGGAGCAATTCATCCACTCATCACAATCAAAGTTATGTAATTTTGTACACATTTAGTTTATGCACTGACATGTTACATTTCTTGAGAAAATAAAAGGTAAAAACATGAGAGGCATAAACTAAACCAAAAGCATTTTTTTACATTTTCAATGTTGCAAACTAATTAGGAAAATGGCGGAAGATTCAAAAATAGTCTATAATATTGCATAGCTACTTGTCCAACTTATGATTATTATAAAGATATTTTGTAGCTTACGTTTATAGATTTAACAGCTATATATTAGCTGCCTTGAGGGCAAGTACAGGTAATCTTCAACTTACAACCACAATTGAGTCCAAAATTTATGTTGCTAAGTGAGACATTTGTTAAGTGAATTTTTGCCCCATTTTACGACCTTTCTTGCCATAGTTGTTAAGTGAATCACTGCAGTTAGAAACACATTGTTAAATGAAGCTGGCTTCCACACTGAGTTTGCTTGTAAGAAGGTTACAAAAAGTAGTGATATGACCCCGGGATATTGCAACCATCATAAATATGAATGAGTTGCCAAGCATCTAAATTTTGATCACATGATCATCAGGATGCTGAAATTGTTGTAAGCGTGAAAAATAGTAATAAGTCACTTTTTTTAGGGCCATTGTAACTTCAAACGGTCACTAAATGACTTTGTAAGTCGAGGATTACCTAAACTTGCATGCAAATAAAAAAAGTAAAATTCTCTTACAAATATCAGCCAACTGTAGAATAGGAAAGGATTCAATTTATATCTAAATGGTTTACTCCAAAAACCAAAGCTCAACTTCCCATTTCACTCAGTTATGTTTTAGTCAGTTATCAGTGCTTTATATCAAAACAAGCCAGGAGCCATCCAGGAATGGATGCATCTGACAATCTAATTTTTAGAAGTGAATTTGAATGCAGTTGAGTACAATAAGTGCGTTGCTTTCTCTCCCAATATATATGTAAATACATCTTAATAGGCACTCTGCTAACAGAAGATCATCTTTTTTTATTCTTGATAAACATTACAAGAAGTACACAAAACAGAAAGGAGCCAGGTTAAACTAGATAATGCCATGTTTGCTTCAATTTGCTTATCAATTATGCCAATATAAAACAGCCTCTGGAGACAATGCAATAGTGCAGGGGTCTCCAACCTGTGGTCTGCGGCCTGTTGGCCACCGGGCTGTGGGAATGGCTGGTGAGTGCGCACACCCTCCCACTCATGCTAGGAGCACTAGTGCAGCCATCAGTGTCACCAGGCACTAGTGGCCCGTTTGAGCATGCATGTAGATGCTAGCGGACTGTTTGCACACATGCAAGGGTATCAGGAGCCCAATTGCACATGTGTGCGGGTGCTAACAGCCCATTTGTGCACGTGTTCAGGTGCTAGCAGCAATGCTTGCGCAGGTGCGTGGGCGACAGAAACAGCACCAGCAATGGCGCAGGTGCGTGCAGCCCGCTTGTGCATGCACATGGATGCTAGCGCCACTGTCCTGCACATGCCCATTTGCACAGCGCGTGCACATTTCTCTGCTTCTCCCTTTCCCTCTGGGCCGCCAACCCAGAAAAGTTGGGGAGCTCTGCACAAGTAGTCCAACACACCTGAAAATAACTTACTTGGGAAAGGCAGATATAAAATGTAATATGTATTGTGACCTAAAGAACAAAGTGCCTTATTTCAGATACAGGTAGTCCTTGAGTTACGAGTGTAATGGAGCCTGCCCATTCCACTCGTAACTCGAAAACTTGTAGAATGAATTTCGTACTTCGAACGAGATCACTCCCTTGCTCCTTAAGACACACGTGGCTCGTTAAGTGCACATGAGGTATCTCAGGGTGGGGAAGGCCATGGGGGGCTAGTGATGGAATAGCCCCCCCAAGGCCTCCCCAACCCACTAAGATATCTCATGCTTCACCTCTCTTCCTGCTGCACCAGATTCGCTTACCTTGAAAAGATCTGTCTCCTCTCTGCCGCAGTTTCTGCCTTTGAGGGAGAGGAGAATCGATGGAAGCTTCTGGGTGCCCCTAATATTGCGCAAGTTGAGGCACCGATCCTCTTTTGTAGAGAATGGGAGTCTGAACTCTTGCGATGTTTGCTCCCGCCCCCTACTCCTTTCCACCACTGCCGGGACAATTTTTACCAGGACGGAGACCTTGGGGAAATTGGAAGCTCCGTCTGTATGCAAATGCACACTTAGACACAAAGCGCTTCGCTCTTGGCTCCGTTTTCGCAGGAAAGAGCCATTTCTCAAGCCCTTTCCTAGCGGAAAAAAAGCCTCTGGAGTGAGTGTGCCTCACTTTTTGGCTATTTTTTTGCAGGAAAAAGCCATTTCCCAAGCCCTTTCCTAGCGGAAAAAAGCCTCGGGGGGGATGCTCGCTTCGGAGGTTTGTTTTCGCAGGATTGCTCTTGCTGATCACGTAACTTTGAACGAGCGTTAAGTGAACACTCGTAACTCGGGGATTACCTGTACTGTACAAGATATATGAATATACATAAAATATACTGCTCAAAAAAATAAAGGGAACATTTTACCATGGAACTGAAGGGGTTTGCGTTCCCTTTATTTTTGTGAGCAGTATATATTAACATTTCTGTAATCAAACTTTTATATTTGTTTAAAACAATGCCTTTGTATTTTTTTTGTTTAAAATTAATCAACAATTAAGAATCCAAACACCAGTGTATACCTTAAAACCCAAGCAATCTTTATCAACAGCAATAGTACTTAGACTTATATATGGCTTCATACTGCTTTATAGCCCTAACCAGTTTACTGTGTCAGCATATTGGGTCTTCATTTTGCCAACCTCAGAAGGATGGAAGGCTGAGTCAACCTTGAGCTGCTCAGAATCAAACTCCTGGAGTGAGCAGTGAGTTAGCCTGCAGTACTGCATTCTAACCATTGCGCCACCTCGGCTCTTAAATGTCCCTCTGCAAAAATAACTTTATTTTTACAGGAAACACTGCAGTTATTCATACTAGTTAAATAAGGAAAAGGAGAGGAAAGGGGAAAGGAGAAAGGGGAAAGAATCACCTCCACAATTTCCGTGCTTGCATATCTTGTTTGGTTCTGTTCCCCTGGATGCACTATAATGATCTGCACAAATGTATTCAGTTTTCGATCTCGTGTAGGAGCCACTAAATCTTTACATGCTGGAAATGGTATTGAAAAGGGGGAGAGAAAAAAGAGGGAAAATCTCATTAAAAAAAACCCCTAAATCACAGTGAGCACATTGTTGTGTGAGAGGCAGGTTGAACAATGTTTTGAAGCTCTAGAGACTTAACCTGGTTTAACAGAGGAAGTCTCTTAGAAATACTCCACAGAAATAGGAAGTCACATACTGCAATCTATTTATTTTTAGAAAATTTTATTGATTTTTTAGTTTTATATTTAAATATTTGAAAAGCAACGTGGTGGCTGAGTTGGTCAATAATTCAATATCAAATATCTTTAGTACAGATCTCAAACTATTACATTAAATATTTCCTCTCTTTTCCCCTTGTTATTTACTGTCTCATATTTAAATTAATACAATTCTTATTATATCGATTAAATAAAAATAACTTTCTTACATTTATCAATAATTTTGTTTATACATATCCTAGTTGTTTTAACATTCAATCTTTTTAGACCAAGGGTGTCAAACTGCCGGCCTGTGGGCTGGACGCATCATCCGGAAGCTGCACCCACCCCATTGCTGGCAATGGCAAAACCATCCCGATATGTTGCACGACGTCACATGACGTCGCGAGTTTGACATGTGTGTTTTAGACAATCAAAGTCCTGGTTAGTTTTTCCCAATTTTTAGTTTCCCATTAATATTTAAATTTAACTTTAATTTTTATAATTTCCAAGTTTTAAATAACCCCAATTCCCTTTATCACAATTCATCACAAGGTCTAATGTTCAGGATACACATCTTATCTATTTGAATTCTCACCATTTTACATCAACTAATTAATAGCTTAGATATACAAACCCAAATTCCAACTACAACTAAAGATCTAACAACGCAGAAAGTAACAGAAGAAGTGGAACAATCAAGCACTAAGACAGAGGACTCAATTGACCAACAAATACAGTCAATGAAATATCCAGAAAAGGGACTGACAACACTGAAAATGGAAAAGACTTTCTATATAAATCAGAAGAAATTTGAGGAGCAAGAAGAAGAACAGGCTGAATGGAAGATAAAAATACCACGACAATTATGGGGATTTGGAATAATAGGGAGATGATTTAAGGAATACAAATGGGCTAGCCCAGTGGTGGCGAACCTATGGCAGAGGTGGCACTCGGAGCCCTCTCTGTGGGCATGCGAGCCGTTGCCCCAGCCCTGCTTCCCCCCGCAACCCCCTCATCAGCAGCCTGCCTGGGGGAAAGTCTCCTCCAGGTGCGGCCCATGCGGAGCAGCGCAGCCAAGCACATGGCAGCTGGGCAAGACTCCGCCCTTGTGCCCCATCACGCGCAGATGATGCTATGGGGCTCGGGTGGTGAGTGGCCCTGTGGGGGGCGGAGCGGGAGGCAGAATGGGGTGGGTCGGGGGGCGGGTTGGTTTTTGGGCACTCGGTCTCTAAAAGGTTCGCCATCACTGGGCTAGCCCTTCCAAAAAAATGACAACTAAATGGTCTCTCTTATTCCAAACAATATATATAATAATAGAGGGAGATCTATTTGATGATTTAAAAGCGTTGACATGGAAGGCTAGCTGGCAAAGAATGAAAACCAGAATAAGGCTGAAGAAAATTGGGGTTTTGATTTATCAGAGGGGATTTTATATTACTAATTAAAGGGTCAAAGGGAGAAGTTGAGATAAGGGAAATTTTGGTCATTAAATTTTAAAACATTTGGAAATTAGTTGAAAATAAGGATGCTATTTGTTTAATACTTAAAAATTAGACCCAAAAGAAAACAAAATATTATGAATATGTTTGATTTATTGATTAATTCAGACAATATATATAATGGGCTTTGATTTATTAAAGGGGATACTGTATTATTAATTAGATGGTGTAAGATGGGGGGAAATAGATAACTTTTAGGAAACAGAACAAGATTATACCCAAATAGAAGTGTACTTTGAATACCAGATTCTGTTATGAGTTGAGATAAAGGAAACTTTAGTTACCTAAAATCTGGAAATTATAAATATTAAATGTTAAATTTGAATACTGATGGGAAACTAAAAATTGGGAAAAACTAATAACAGGACATTGATTGACTGTAAAGATGAATGTAAAAGTAATTAAGATTTATTGATAAATGACTTCCGGTGGGACGGCGCGCCGATGGCGGCTCTTTTCGGAGCCGTCCGCTTGGGAAGGCGTCAGAGCCAGCATGAACAGCGGTCAGCAGCTGTTCAGCGGCTTGGAACCTTGTGCCCCGGGAGAAGGGGTCGAGGTGAGTACTCCTGGATAGGAGTAGAGTCCCAAAAGCTCTCCCTTTTTCTCGGGAGAGCGAA